AATTCCATCAGTTTTTGTCTGTGAAAAATCTCGTTCCCATCGTTCTATAATAATTGGTGATTCACTGACAACTGGTGCAGCAGCTTGCTCAGCAACGCTTGTATTCGACATGTTTTGTGCACAGAAAAGATATCAACTAAATAAAATATAAAAAGATATATATATATATATAGAGAGAGAGAGAGAGAGAGCAAAGATAAGAAAAATGATAACACAAAAAAAAGGTATTTATTTGATGTAAGTAGAATATTAAGTACACTCATGTATTTTATACGAAAGAAGATTTATATCATCCTCAATCGGTATTCATCCAATATTATCGATTTTTAAAAACTTTTTAACAATGTACCTACTTCGCTCACAAGATGCAAGAAAATAGTCATAAAAAAGAAAAAATGCAATAAAAACGAGCACCGGTGTAGCATTAACTACTCTTTCTTTTCTATCAAGACAACACACGTCAACTCTATACGAATATTTTGATACTCACTTAAGTGAAGCAAAAGTAGTCGGTCAATCAGTAGGTATATACATACATATATTAGCTACCCAGGTCAATCATGCTCGGTCGTACACGGCCGTATACCAACTAATTACGACGGTAACGGCAGCTGCTTTCGTTAGCCATATACTGCAATCGTAAACGATGCTTTACGGCGAATTATGACTATCGTAAACGATGGTTTACGTCATATTATGGCCATTGTAAACGATGACCGTAAAATATCGCCGTTAACGACCAGCGTAGCAATACGGCGATTGTATACGCTAATCAGATAAAATATCCTAAGGCATCGTATACGTGAACCGTTTGCGGTAGCCGTTTACAGCGATTGTAAACGATGCTTTACGATGAATTACAGTCATTGTTTACAATGAACGTAAAAGTCACTGTTACCCAGGTCCAGCATTACGATGACCGTGAGCGGGTCGTAAACGACCGTTAATGATAAGGATACGCCCGTAAACTGCCCGTATTTGACCCGTTTGGTATGCGCCGTAATACGACCGTATATCACCGTGCCGTATACGCTTAGAAACGGTGAAAAACGGTTGGAAAATCCCGTATTCGATCGTTTACGACACGGCGATATACGGCCGTAATACGGCGCATACCAAACGGGTCAAATACGATCAAAAACGGCCGTTTACGACCGGGCTTGTTTCACCTGGGTAACAACCAGCGTAGCAATACGGCGACTGTATACGCTCATCGAATAATATCGCAAGATATCGTATGCGTCAACTGTAAATATCTTAAGAAATAATCATCGTTTTCTATCATACTTCGTCATAAGCGGTCGTTAACGTTAATCACTTGCTCTTATCGAATATAAGCAACATGTGCTCGTGACAACTTATACATGCCACTAGGTAACAATAGTTATACTTCAACAAAGTCGAGAAGGGTGTAGGTGTGGGTCTCCTCTTCATCTGCAGCGACACTCACACCCACCCTCACACATCCGTCCCACACCCATCCTCGATTTTTGAGTATTGGTAATCCGATTAAAATCGGATTTATTCAGTCTTTTTGGGACATAAGTTCACCCTATATATATATTAGTGCACGACACATTAGAATTCATTCGAGTAATAGCACATGTAGGAGTAACATGTGTTAGAAAGATCTTTTTTCAGTCTTTTTGAGACTCTATATATCGATCTCTAAATGATCTCGAAAAGATCTCACAAGGATCTCACAAAGATCTTTCTGAGACT